CGCGGGTGGGTCGTGGTGCGTGTCGCGGGTGGGTCGCGGGTTGTGTCGCAGGTGGGTCGCGGGGTGGGTCGCGGGGTGGGTCGCAGGTGGATCGCGGGGTGGGTCGTGGGGTGGGTCGCGGGGTGGGTCGCGGGTTGGCTCGCGGGGTGGGTCGTGGGTGGGTCGCGGGTGGGACGACGACAACAAACAACAGCAATAACAACAACGCAACAAGCAGAATCCTCACAACGGATCCTCACTTCAGCCACGCACCCAGAGACAATGAATGACCGTTCGGCTTCCTCACTCTAGTATATATATATATATCTCACATATATTTAAATATTTGAACATATACAATCATACTGTATGCATGCACGCATCCATACAGACATACACACATACATACACCTGCAAACATGCATACATATTTACATACAGACATACATACACACATACATAGTGTGTACGACATGTTGCGCAACATATGTTATACAATATCTGTTGTGCGATATATGCTGTGCAGTCTGTGTTGTGCAGTATGTGCGGTGCAATATGTGTTGTGCCATTTGTGTGGTGCCATCTCTGTTGTGCAGTCTTATGTGATGCAATATATGCGGTGCTGCATCTGTGGTGCAATGTATTTGGGTGGTGCGCAATCTATGCGTTGCAATCGACTGGATTACAATCGATTTGATTGCAATCGGTTGAATTGCAATGGGGAGGGGGCAACAGGGCGGCGGCTACGGGACTGGGCGGCGACGGCGACAACACAGCCGCCAGACCGAAGGTCAGGCCCAGACGACGGGCGGCCACGAGGCGGTGACGGGACGGCGACGTTGACAACATGGCCGCCAGACCGACGATCAGGCCCAGACGACGGGCGGCGACGAGGCGGCGACAGAGCGGCGACGGCGACAACATCGCCGCCCGACCGACGGCCAGGCCCCGTTCCTTAGAAAAGCACAGTTTGAGAATCTATTCCACCTCTAATTCACGCCGTCTAGCTCACACTGTATAATCTAGACTGCATCACTTACACCGCCGAATTTTCATTTCCATAGTTCACACCACGCAGTTTGCACGACGTAGCTGACACCACATAGCTTACACCGCATGGTTTTCACCACCACGTGCAATAGCGTACTGTTTGGGGTCCACGTTAGCTAGCTTTTTGAAGCATGTGTTTTTATTATCGCGCGTGCCTAGTGTAGGCCCCGCGAGACCGGAAAGGAACACCATACCACCACCCAGAGGGGTAGGCCAGCGGGGCCAAGGCCATGCCAGCCGAGACCCAGGCCTCCGACGTCGCGATGTTTGTCAAAGCGAGGCTCCCCACAAGAGGTCGGCACCTCTTTCGGGGCACCGGTTCTCCTCCTCCCCCTCCTCCTCCTCCTCCTCGTCCTCCTCCTCCTCCTCATCATCATCAGTTGATTCCTTGTCTGCGTTTACTCCTCCTCCTCCTCTTCAAACGAAGCGAGGTTGTCTGGGAAAGTGGATCGGTCGGTTACACAGGCATCTTCCGACACGATGCTCTCAATGCGAGGCCACGGGGCTCCCGACCAGTGCCCCAGGGGGGAGCACTGCGCTCGCGCCCTGGGCCCGCTTCTGCTAGCCTGGGGGCCCGATGGCGAGCCCCCAGCGCCAAAAGCGAGGAGAAACGCCAGGATTGAAGAACGCGCGCCGTCGGAGATCTGGGTCCCTGGTGGTCTTCGTGCCACGGCTCGGGCCTCCGGCGGCCGCTCGGGACGATGCAGGCAGCCCCCGAGCGCCCTCCCTCGACGAGGCGCAGCCGCTGAGAAGCACACCGAGGCCGGAAAGCCTGCGGGAACAGTCGGACGGGGCTAGGATCAGGCGATCGCAAACATGGATTAAGGGGGCGGGGGTTAGCGACGGGTCCCGTTTCCATGGGAGATCGCGGATTTCCGCCGCCGAGCGAGGCGGCACCAGCCGCCCTTTGGGGAGGGCACCTCCCCCGATCCATCGATTTGGCGACCGCGCGCCAAATCCATGGATCGCTAATCCATGTTTGCGCGCCCCAGATAGGACGAGGATACATCCGTCCCAGAGAGTTCCGGAACGCTCTGAGAAAGCCGCGGCGCCCGAGACAGCCTCCAGAGCCGCCGGATCTCAGAGATTCTCGATTCATCCTCGCCCGATGTTATCTTCGTCCTGGCTTCGCCTTAAACCAACAAAAGCGTTCAAACACCTCCTCCGACCCGGTGGCGATTTTGTCGTTCTGGCGAGACCCATGAGTCACCGAGCGCGGTCCGCAATTCGCAAAGTGGCTACCTGCAAGCGTCCGAACAAAAATACGGTCTTCCTCTACATGTAAAGGGTCGTACTTCCCACGCGGCGCATCCAGGCCATCTGCGAGCGGTTACTCTGCGAGCCGTCGCACGACAAACGTCTGCTGAACAGTTGATGCGTGAGGCTACAAGATTACCGGCGGCTTCAGAACAACCTCAGCCTCCACTTCCCCGTTCAGAAAAAAAACGCGGCAATCCCATCTCTACGAGCACCAACCACGCTGCGATGCTGAGCTTTGTGGTCGGCATCCGCAGCGAGAGATCTTGCCTCACCGAGGCGCGCGCCGAGGCTGCTGCCCGCGGCGCGCGGCGGCGCGCGGCGGCCGGGCCGCCGGGCACGTGGCCGGTGCCGCCCGAGGGCGCGGCGGTGCCGATTCCCGCGGCCCTGCGGGGAGTGGGCAATGCAGCGGGGGCGGCTGGCCCAGCGCGCCTCGAGGGGGGGGGGGCCAGCGCTCGAGCAGTGCGTGGAACGTTTCTTCGAGCGTTTCTGGCTGAGGCTGTCTCGTTTTGGCACCTCGGGTCGGTGTTCTAAGGGGACCGCTTCCGTGCTTAGAGCAGTTCTGGGTTCTGTGAACATGTCGTCGTAGGCCCACAGGAATGCCATGACGGTCGGTCCCTGCTCAAAACGCCATGGGCTACCCTGAGATCCTGGCGTCCCAATTTGTTTTGAAGCCGGGCAGTTTTCGCTGTTTTCGGCTGTTTTCGCAGATCGATCGGGTTCGAACAGTGAGGCACAACAGATGGTTTCTAGGGCTCTGTTTTGTTTGCGATGTTGTGATTTGTTCGTTACGTCGGATCTCAGGGTATGTTGTCCCCATCGTGCTTAAGGAGTACATCCCAGAAATAATTTCGAGCACCCACAGGTTTATCGAAGCTTTGTCTGCCCGACACGCTGACGAGTTGCCGAACGAGTGTCGCCTCCCAGTGTCGGACACGTTAGAATCCCCCAGTTTCGATGCTTTCTAGGTGTTCGAAATTCATTTATGTTGATCAAGGCTACGCCATGCCCAGACCCCGTCGGGTCATGAAGGCATCACGACATTTTTGTTGTTGCTCTTATTTTTTTCGGCCTTTGGGGGCCCTTGCCAGGCCGCGGTGCTGCCAAAAAACGATTCAGGATGAAAAGCTGATCCTGGGGAATGGGTCGAGACCCCGGGGGGTCGATGTCATGAAAAAAGTATGACATCGGGGGTCTGGGAAGAATGGGGTGATGACCAGGGGGGGGGGGGGGGGCAATACTGGAGCCATGTTGTCATGTCTCCCCCGATGTCATGGCGCCTTTTCTTGTCTCAATGCGTCCCCTGGCTTCCCTCCCCCCTGGGCCGCCCACGTGCCTCGGACCATGATTTGCGAACCTCCCTCTTGGACGCCCCACTTTTGGACGCCCCCGAATATTGGCCTCCTAGATGAGCGACGCAGAAACACGGGTTCGTCTTCACCGACGTTCGCGCGTATGCTGCCCAGGTAAGGTCGCGCGTTTGCGCCCTCGTTGCCAATGTAGCGTGCCGCGCCAGCGTCTTGCGTAAGCCACCGCGTAAGGTCGCTATGTCATCCCGCGTAAGGCCCGTTTCTTTCGCCGCTCAGATTTCGGTCAGAATAGACGGATCCGCCTGAGGTCGGTATCGCTCTTAACCGATCCCGAGACCCTCGCGTCGTGAAACAAATCGCGACGGAAGGTTCTTGGTAGTTTTCTGACGTGTTCGTCGGTTCTTAGCTGTTTTTTGGCCCCTGGGCGCTCGCATCGTCCCAGACGCCCGCCGGGGACCCGAGTTATACGGCCCCGGAGCTCGCGACGGACTGTATTTGTTGTTGCTATTTGGGGCATCTGGAGGCCCTCGCCGCATGGGGTCAGAGTAGATGTGATGTGGTCGGACGATCGCGCCGCATCGCCGATGCAATGGTGATGCGGCTCGATGTGGATCCTGGTTTTATCCACGCCGACGTCGCCGATGCATCGGGGATGCGGCGCGATCCTCCGACACCATCTATGTGGATCCCATTTGGGCGGCCGCCGGCCTCCAATCAAGCAGTGCGGGCGGCGCCCAATAGAGGGGCTGTGCGAGGGGGGGGGGCGGCTTGCCAAGGAGGCGGGAAGAATCGCGACGACATGTGTCTTACTATGTTTGCCCTCCTTCTCCGCGGTTGCCCCGTCCGTCTCTTTCCCCTCCTCCTGCATGCTGGGCAGTTCGCTTCTCGGTGTCCCCGTTGGGCTCTTATCGCTGGTGCAGCCACTCTGCCTCGCCGCCGACGAACAGGTGTTTTATGATTTTCAGCCTGTGTGCCCCCGCTCCGGGGCCACGCAAAGAATTATCCAGGATGGGAAAGCGGTCTCGTGGATTGGGCCGATGCCTCCTGGGGGTCCACCCTGTGAGCAGCACCGCGGCGTCGCGGGGCCAGGGGCCGGTGGCGCGAGAGGGGGGGCTCACCAAGAAGGCTGGAGGGCCTCTGGGAAGGCAGGGGGCCAAGGGCGCCCTCGAGGGCGCGAAGTTATTCGCGCTTCGCGGTTCGGCTCCGATTCCTCCTCCTCCTCCTCCTCCTCCTCCTCCTCCTCCTCCTCTTCTCCCCTTGGAGGCGGCGCGAGAGCGCGAAGTTGTTCGCACCTGGCGCTTCGCGGAGCGCGAAGCGCGAAGTTGGGAGCCCTTGGGGGGCCTTCTCGGAAAGGGCCGGGGGGCGTCCTCGCAGGCTTTCCCTGGAGCCGGGCGGGCTTCTAAGGTGCCGTCCTGGCCTCGGGGAAGCCCCGCCGCCTGCTCAGAAGCCCACACTCGTCGCGCCGCCCCCCTGATGTGTCCCGCCGATCGGGCGGTAACGAAGCGTCCTGGTCTGCCTGTAGTTAGGTCGGGCCTGTCCCCTACAGGAGGATTTCGGGTGAAAAGTTTAAACTATTCCGAATAACACCCCCAAATGGCAACAAATATTCAAAACATCGTCCCCGCACTATGTTCCAACCATCCTGTGGTGTTGGGTCCTCGTTTTGAAGAGACAGCGCCCCGCGTCCCTCCCTCCCTCCCTCCCTCTCGCCTTCTCCTCCTCTTCCTCCTCCTCCTCCTCTTCCTCCTCCATCCTCCCCCTCCTCCCTTCTCCCAGTCCTTGCCCCTGCCTTCATAATGTCTCTGTTTCGGTACACCCCTCACACGTTTCGTGGCCCCATAGGGAGCCCCACCTAAGGCTCCAGTGGCGCAGCTCGCATGGCGCCGCCGCCCCATATTGGCACACCCCCCACACGTTTCGTGGCCCCCATAGGGAGGCAGGGTTCGCATGGCGGCCTCGGGCCACTTCGGCACACCCCTCATGAGGATCGTGGCCCCATTGGGAGCTCCACCGAAGGTCCCAGTGGCAGGGTTCGCATGGCGGCCTCGGGCCATGTCGGCACAACCCTCACGAGGATCGTGGCGTGGCCCCATAGGGAGTTCCACCGAAGGCTCCAGTGGCAGGGTTCGCATGGCGGCCTCGGGCCATTTCGGCACACCCCTCACGAGGATCGTGGCCCCATAGGGAGCTCCACCGAATGTCCCAGTGGCAGGGTTCGCATGGCGGCCTCGGGCCATTTCGGCACACCGCTGACGAGGATCGTGGCCCACAGTTGAGCTGCTTCAACGACCGCGTCTGGGCGTCGTCCTCGCCTTGTCGACGTGCAACGCCACCTTCTCCTTCATGGCTCTCAAAGCCCTCTACTGCTTCAGCTCCTCGGTCAGAGGGACGCCGTCCTTGTCGTCATCGGCGCCCGCGAAGACGGCCACGAACGTGTTCCTAAGCATGTCGGGCTCCGGCGGGAAGCCGTGGCTACATAGGGAGCGCGGGCGAAGATGGTATTCACAATTGCGGTATTCACAACTGCATATGGTTGGGTCCTTTGACAGGCTAGTTTTTTACTATCAGTTAGGGCTTCGCTCCCTGCCGCCGGCTCCCTCTCCCGGATAATGGGCAATGCAAGAGCGAAATCATGAGGCCTTGGCGCCGCCGTGAAGCAGGGCCGGGACTTCACGCGAAGACGATGAGTAATCGGAAATGCACATTGAGATTCTGATGATATTGTTGGATTTGGTGTGGTAATTCGAAGGTTTATGGCTTCGGATGCGCGAGTAGCGCGTAATTTGCAAGGATTGATGGCTTGGGGGTCGCAGATATAACGTACCCTACCCAGGTTTATGGTTTCGGAGACGGGAATGTAATGTAATCTACGATGGTTTATGAATTCGGACACGCGATTATTGGATAACTGATTTACGATGGTTTATGGCCTTGGGGTCGCAACTATTGCGTCATGTGCGCCGGTTTATGGTTCCGGAAACGCGAATTTTCTAGAACGTTCGAGGGCTTATGGCTTCGGGGACGCGAACATCGTGATTTACGAGGGTGTATGGCTTCGGGGACGCAAGTTTTATATCATGTACGAGGGATTCTGGTTTCGGGGACACGAGCGCGCTGTATTGTGCGAGGGTTCATGGCTACGGGGACGCGAATGTTGTGTACATAACTCACGAGGCCTCATGGCCTCGGAGACACAAGTATTGCGTAACTTACAAAAGGGCTCATGGTTTCGGCGGCGCGAATTTCATGTACTTTTACATGTCCCACGCCCCCCCCCCCCCCCGGAAATTTAGAAAACCTTCCCGGGAGACGCCAGGTTTGCCGGTTTTCGGTTCCCCCCGCCTCGCGCGGTCTACAACAAGGTACAGTCAGCAACAAGAAGCAGAACTGTAACAGTGGCAACTTGAAAATGGAACTGGGGCAGGGAACAGCAAACCCGCGTCCTACAGCCTGGTGGCCCCACATGGGGGCCGGCGGATTTTTGAGTTTTCCTCTTGTAGAGGGAGAGGCCCGGCTCAAGCCTATAGGTTCACCCACAAAGAGATCGCTCCTGTTGAGAAGCCGGGCCAGCGCTGCGTGGCCGAATTGTCAGGGAGTTGACCCAGGTTCTTCAGCACATTCGCCCTCCATCGCTCACAACAGAAGCTGGCCTAGGTTTGTATTAAGAGACTTCTGGGAAGCGGGCCCATCTTTCTTAGTTGATGAGTTTCTAGGTCCGATTTCTGGCTGTATTGCGATCGTCCTGTGTGGATTGTATAGGATGTATTTAAAGCCCATCTGGCTTAGGCAGTCTCGTTTTTCAATGTCGGTGTTATGTTCCGTGTTTGTGATGGGGAGAGGTGGGAGCTGGTTTTTTGGATTGCACTCCCGAGCAGCCGTCTCGGCTGTCAGATCATGGCGGCGCTCGCTGGATATAACTACGTGCAGACATGCACCGAGTATATTGTTAGCATCGGCACCAAGTGTGGGTGAGACCTCGCACCCGTCTCCTGCCCAGTCACGAGCCTATCATAGACCACTAAGGCGCGGAGGAGGAAGGAAGGGGGGAAGTGGGAGGAGGGAGGAGGGAGGAGGATCGCATTTTGCTATCAGAACATGGCGTGGTGGGCTCACAGGAGATACTGTGACGGCCGGCCTCTCTCGAAGCGGAGGACTTTCCCAGATCTCCGACGCTACGGATGTTTGTTCCCCAATCAGCGCTTGCCTCTGTGGGGGTCCTAGCGGGTTCATTTGTGTAGGTGACCTACGTCGCCGATTGCGGTGGCCGGCCCAGGTGCACGGGTGCCCGGGGGTGCCGGGGGGGGCCCGGGGCTGCCCGGAGGTGCCCGGGGGTGCCCAGAGGTGCCCGGAGGTGCCCGGAGGTGCCCGGGGGTGACCGGGTACCGGGTGCCCGGTAGCCCAAAAGCCCGATAGCCCTACAGCTTTATAGCCCTATTGCCCTGTAGCCCAAGAGCCCTATAGCCCTGTAGCCTACCCTATGGCCCCAATAGCCTTGTAGTCCTAATAACCCTATAGCCCTATATGGTCTATGACCTTATTGCCTTATAGCCCTAGCCCTGTAGCCCTAATAGGCCTATAGCCCTAATAGGCCTATAGCCCTATATAGCCCTATAGCCCTACAGCCATATAGCCCCATAATTTGCCCTATAGCTATATAGCCCAAGAACCCTACATATAGCCCTAATAGCCCTATAGTCCTATAGCCCTATGGCTCTAATAGCCCTATAACCCAATCGCCCTACAGCCTTATAGCCCAATAGCCCTATAGCCCTATAGCCCTATAGCCCTATAGCCTTATAGTCCTATAGCCTTATAGCCCTATAGCCCTATAGCCCTATAGCCCTATAGCCCCATAGCCCCATAGCCCTGTAGCCCTACAGCCCTATAGCCCTAATAGCCCAAGAGCCCGATAGCCCAATAGCCTCATAGCTCATAGCCCCAGAAGCCCTCAAGCGATTATGACTGGTTTTCTGTTGTAGCATTTAGTTGTTTGGGCGCTTTTCCTCGAGGAGGAGGAGGAGGAGGAGGAGGAGGAGGAGGAGGAGGAGGGGGGCCCGTCATCGGGCCCCAGGGTCAATCGAAAACAAGTCGGGGACGGGAACTTGCCCCCGGGCACAGGGGCCTCGACCTTCGGCGCAGCGCACGGAAAACATCGCACCGTCGGCTGTCGAGGTTCGACGTTCTCGGACAGGTTCGTCGGCTCGCTTGGGTTCCGGCAGCTGCGCCCCGCCGCGGGCGCTGCGGAGGTGCCCGGATCGTCCCCGCGAGCTGCCGCTGGAGGCTCGAGTCATGGTCCGAAAGCCAGGCGGCAGGAGGAGGTCACAGTCCTTCGGCGATGTTACCGACCCCCTTCCCCCCTCCCTCCGCCCTCCGTCCCCCCCCCCCCCTCCCCCACCACCCTCTTCTTCCTCCTGGGGGGAGGGAGGAGCGTGGATAGAGGCGGGGGAGAAGCGAGGGCGGATCCAGATCTCCGGTGATGTTTGTTTTCTTATTTCGGCCTCGTTTGGGGGCCCGATGTCGGGCCCAGGAGGGGCCATCCAAAACGGGTGAAGAACTACCCCCAGGCGAGGGGTCGGGACCACGCGCGTTGAACAAATCACATCTTCGGACGTCTGGGGTCGCAGGGTGGCCCCTTCGTGACGACCACCCTCGCCTCTACGCGTAACAGTGACCCGTCGCCGAAGTGACCTCTGGTGCTGGCCCAAAGCGGGTCGGGTAATGTCTCTCTGGGGTTGAGCTCGACCTTGCATCGGCACCCGCGGCGTGGGGTTGTGCTCGCACCTGAGCGCCCCAAGGCTCCCAGACATCTGGCCGTTCCGCTTTCTTCGATGCTCGGGCCCTGGAGGTCTGAACCACTTCTCTACAGGGCTGGTTTTCGTCTTGGGTCGCTTTTTGACGCTCCTGAGGCCCGGCGAGGGCCCCAAGAGGCCGAACGCGGCCCAAAACCCGCCCCTCCAATTTTTGTTGGGGGCGTCGGATCTTTGGGTCCCCCCCCCCCCTCGCGATCGACATCCTGCAGCCCGCGTTTTGGTTTCCATATGGGGGCGGGGGCGGTCGACCTGGGGCGGCGCGTTTTTTCTGCCCCTGGACCGATCCCGAAGTCCAGCCCAAGTCCCACATCGTCCGGATTGATTTTGTTATATCTATATAAACGTGTATATATATATATATGTATCTGTACACAAGATTAAATCCACATATCTGATTGCGTTGGCGCTTCTCACCATGCACTTTGGTCCTTCAGGTTTGGCATGCACGCAGGAAGGCATAAGGTGAAACAGGACACTTTGCGACAGTTTCTTGTTGCATGTTCTGGCATCGTCGTTGTAACATGTTATTCGTTGTCCTTCCCTCATGCTTCCTCTTTCTCTCCCTCATTCTCGCCCTACTCTGCGAATTCGCCACCATCCTCAGTTTTCCCCCCCACATGTTTCGTGGGGTTCTGGTTTTCTTTCCTGCCGCGTCGCACCCGCGACCCTCACTCCTCACCTCCCCTCCTCCTCCTTCTCCTTCTCACACAGCGCAGCACAGCTCAGCACAGCACAGCTTAGCTGAGCACAGCACAGTTCAGCACTGCACAGCATAGCACCTCACAGCACAGCTCTGCTCAGCGCAGCTCAGATCAGCTCAGTCCAGCACAGCACAGCACAGCTCATCTCAGCACAGCACAGTACGGCACAGCACAGCACCTCAGCGCAGCACAGTTCAGCACTACACAGCACAGCACCTCTGGACACCATAGGGCGTGCGCAGCAAGTGGTCTCTGAGCGCGGCCGCTATCCACGACACTGTCGCAAAGCCTAGCAGGCGTGACTTTTCTGGACACCGTAGGGGGTGCGCAAGGGGTGGTCTTTCAGCGCGGCAGCTATCCACGACACTGTCGCAAAGCCTAGCAGGCGTGGCACTTTCTGTACACCACTGGGGGTGCGCAGGGGGTGGTCTGTCAGCGCGGCCACTATCCACGACACTGTCGCAAAGCCTAGCAGGCGTGGCACTTTCTGGACACCATAGGGGGTGCGCAGGGGGTGGTCTGTCAGCGCGGCAGCTATCCACGACACTGTCGCACAGCCTAGCAGGCGTGGCACTTTCTGGACACCACTGGGGGTGCGCGGGGGGTGGTTTGTCAGTGCGGCCGCAATCCACGACATTGTCGCAAAGCCTAGCAGGCGTTGCTTTTCTGGACACCATAGGGGGTGCGCCGGGGGTGGTCTGTCAGCGCAGCCGCTATCCACGACACTGTCGCAAAGCCTAGCAGGCGTGGCACTTTCTGGACACCATAGAGGGTGCGCGGGGGGTGGTCTGTCAGCGCGGCCGCTATCCACGACACTGTCGCAAAGCCTAGCAGGCGTGGCACTGACTGGACACCATAGGGGGTGCGCAGGGGGTGGTCTCTCAGCGCGGCTGCTATCCACGACATTGCCACAAAGCCTGGCAGGCGTGGCACTTTCTGGACGCCACAGGGGGTGCGCTGGGGGTGCGGTCGATATCGGTTTCGGGCTCGCAACGTGTGGCAGGCGTCGCATTTTCTGGACGCCACATGTGGTGCGCGCTATCCGTTTCGGGCTCGCAAAGCGTGGCAGGCGTCACACTTTCTCGACGACACAGGGTGTGCGCCGGGGGTGCGGTCGCTATCCGTTTCAGCCTCGCAAAGCGTGGCAGGCGTGGCACTTTCTCAACGCCACGGGGGGTGCGCTGGGGGTGCGGTCGCTATCCGTTTCGGGCTCGCAAGGCGTGGCAGCGTGGCACTTCTCGACGCCGAGGGGGTGCGCCGGGGGCCCGCGAAAGCGTGGCAGGCGTGACACTTCCTCGACGCCGCAGGGGGTGCGCTGGGGGTGCGGTCGCTATCCGTTTCGGGCTCGCAACGCGTGGCAGGCGCGTTACTTTCTCGATGCCACAGGGGGTGCGCCGGGGGTGCGGTCGCTATCCGATTCGGGCCCGCAAAGCGTGGCAGGCGTGACACTTCCTCGACGCCGCAGGGGGTGCGCTGGGGGTGCGGTCGCTATCCGTTTCGGGCTCGCAACGCGTGGCAGGCGCGTTACTTTCTCGATGCCACAGGGGGTGCGCCGGGGGTGCGGTCGCTATCCGATTCGGGCCCGCAAAGCGTGGCAGGCGTGGCACTTTCTCGACGCCACAGGGAGTGCCTTGGGGGTGCGGTCGCTATCCGCTTCGGGCTCGCAAAGTGTGGTTGGCGCGGCGCTTCTCCTTTCGCCAACAGTATCGGCGTGGCGACGGCCACCAACATTCTCACATGCTTCACTTCAGCTATCATCACTCCAGCCATAATATTGGGGTTCCTCGGTAGCGTAATTGTTGCTGTTTTGTTTGTGGGGTCTCATCCTAGGAGAACCTCTTCTAGGTCTCACGAGGGTTTTATTTTCGGGCTTGTTGGGGCCTTCTGGAAGCCTCCTGGGTTCCTTCTGGGGCCACTGGGGGCTTCCCTGGGCCACCCTGCTTCCAACCGCGGCATCCCTGAACGATATTTGGAATGATTCGGGAGGCGTCTTGGAGCCATCTTGGGCCGTCATGGGGCTCTCTTCGGGTCATCTTGGGGCCCTGTTGGGCCGTTTTGGGGCTCCTCTTGGACTGCCTGGAAGCCTTCTTGGTTAAATTTGTAGCGATGCTCTGGCCTCCTGCGTGGTCTCGGACGCCCCCCCCCCCAAAAATAGCATTTCCAGAATCATGCAAAAACCATTGGAAATCCATGTTTTCTGCGTTTCGAATGCCCATTGGGGGTCGTTTTTGGGTAGTTTTTGGGGGTCTGGTGGGTGTCTGGGGCCTCTGTAGGCTCTCGCGGGGCCGTCCGGCCGCCCTGCTGACCGATTTGGGCCTACTGTCTAGGTCCAGCAGGGGCTCCAGGAACCCCGGAAAGCACAGGTAACTGTCTGCAAGGGCGTTCAGGGTGCCCCTGGGGCCAGGGATCCAGAGGGCCGTTTTTGATGGCCACGGGGCTTGGCGAGGGCCCCCAGGAGGCTTAAGACGGTGTGTCTGGGCCATCCCCAGCGGCCGTTCGGGACGATGCGGGCACCCCCAGAGCATTCACTCTCGGCGAGGCGCAGCTGCCGGAACGCACCCCGAGGTCGCAGAATTGCCGAGAGCCCTTCAAGGATGCGTGGAAACAGCAAAACAGACACTTGGCGTCGTGCTTTGCCACTGCGCGAGGGGGTTCTGGATGGTCGGGTGTTGCTGGAAGTGCCCATGGCGCAAGGTGCCCTCAGCTTTTCGCTCCATTTTGGAGCCCTTGGGGCCCCCTGGGCCTCGCGTGAGGGGTGCCCTGGGGGCCGTCTGGGCCAGCCCGAGAATCCTGGGGGTACTTTGGGCCAGGGGACCCGAGATGGAGGGGAGCCTCGGCGGCAAGGGGGCTGGTTCGGCACGGAAAGAGGTCGTCGCAGCGGTGGCCGGTTGGGCCGCGCCCGAGGCCAGCTTGCTGCGGGCGCGCGCGCCAGAGCCCCCGCGGGCGCAGGTCGGGGTCTCCGAGGACGGCGGTGCTTTTCCGATCGGGGCTTTCTGAACCAGGACGGCGCCAGCCAGGACTAAAAATCCCGGAGATCCAACGCATTGACAAACATCAAGGCGTAGGTTTTTCATATTTTTCGGCCTCGAGGGGCCCTCGCCGGGCCCCGGGACCGTCAAAAATCGACTCAGGATGAAAAACCAGTCCTGGGGAATGGGTCGAGACTTCCAGGGACCCCGTATTGAAGAAATCACGACGTCGGATCTATGGGATTACATGCGAGCGACAAGAAGGAGAAACGGGGTCGTCTGCGCCGACATTGGCGCGCAAAAGCTGCTCGCGCAGGGTCGCGCGTGAGCGCCCTCGCCTCCACTGTGGCGTGCCGCGCGGGCGGCCCTTCGCAGGCAACCGCGCAGGGTCGCTACGCCATCTCGCGCGAGATCCGACCTTGACCGTCGCTCCCCTGCATGGAACGAGAGCGTGGAAGATGCTCCCGGCCCCCACGGCTGCAGCCTGCTCGGGCTCGCCAGCTTCCTGGTTTGTCAACGTCCCGCTCTTGGTGTTCGGCCGCGTCGCCGGCGCCGCGGTCGCCGCCGTCCCCCGTGGGCGACAAGCATCTCGGTATCCGCGGCCTCGCGGGCCAGCCCCACGGGTTGCGACCCCGCGGGTGCGGGGCGTTTCCCCCTCGGATGCCCCGCGCGGAGCGCACCCGCGCGACCGCGCATCCGCGGGATGGCGCCCCGGAGCCCAGACCACGGGGGCGCGGATACGGATGTGTTCGCCGCTCGTGACCAGATCTCTGGCGACGCTGGCCTTTTTTGTCCGGCGTCGGCGTCGTCGTCGCCGTCGCCGTCGCCGTCGCAGTCGTTGTTGCCGCCGTCGTCGTCGTCGCGGTTGTCGCCGTCGCCGGCCGCCGTCGTCGTCGCTGTCGCCGTCGTCGCACCAGGTCTCCGACGCGACGATGCTCCTGGCGTTTTCCCTCGATTTCGGCCTCTGGGGCGTGTGACTGGGCCTCCAGGGCCAGTAAAAAAACACACCCGGGGCGAAGAATTCCCCCAAGGACCCAGGCCTCCGACACTGACGATCTTCAGCATCGTCCGAACCGACCCAACCCCGACCGGCATAGGGGAACGTAGCTCTCACCGATGGGAGTCGAGTTCTCTCAGTGGGGGGTGAAGACGTTTCTTGTCAAGGGTTGTTTCAATCTTGGTGTTCCTCCTCGATTTCGGCATCTGCATGGTGACCATTATTCGAGGAAGGAGCAACTTAATAAACGCACAGTGTCGGAGGTCCGCGCGGATTCCGAAGCCAGCGTGGACCTCAAACAGTTTGTGTGTCATATGGTTTCATCACGTGGAGCAATTTATCTGGTGCAATCTACGTGTTCGACATGCGGCGCGAGAGGTCCTTTTTGGCAGAATTCCATGGCAATGTCGAACAACCTATGGCTCATGAATTCGCCAGAACGCGCGCAGTCATGTTTTTTTGAAAACGGATGTTGCAAAGCCGCATGTTTTAGCTTGTGTTCGGAACGCTCGTTCTTGTGAAATCCTTACGAACTTTTTAAATCATTTAAAGGATTGCCGCAGGCGCGCGCGATGACGCGCGCGCGTGCACTTCTTCTCGTTTTGTTCGAGGCAATCTTGCGACAGCACGCGCGCAAGGGCGTTCGAGCGATTTCGACATGCGCGCGCGAGAGGCCCGTTTGGTAGCATGTTATGAATATGTGAAACCCGATGGTTGTCTTAAGAGTTCGCAGCAGCGCGGGCGCAGGCTTTTTTGAAAACCCCTGTGTTGCGAAACCATGTGTTGCGACGGCGACTGCGATGAGTGCTTGGCATTGGCTGGTGCATCTTTGCGGCCGCGCTGGCCCGCGCATGCTCGCGCGCGCAGATTGCTTCCGGCCCCGACGCGATCACGCCTGGTTAGTCTTGTGCTCTCCATCAAGGGCGGCCTGGTCGGCGGGCTGGGCGGCGCGCCTCTCGAGGCCCAGGGGCAACGACAGGGGGGGCCAGGCTCAGGGGGATTCGCATCGACCCCCAACCGCCCACTGATCGCCGATCGGGGGCCTGATACCCCCACCCCGCCCAGGAACGCGCCGATTCGCTTGCGCGGGCCTGTCTCCGATCTGTCGGCGATAGATCGCCGATTCCAGGTCGAGGTTTTCCTCCCCTGAGTGCGCCCCCCGATTCCATTTACCCGGACTTCATCTGGGAGGCCCCTGTCGGTTTCCGGCCCCAATTCAGACCTCTGGCGGCCGTTCGGAGCGATCCGGGTATCCCCGAAGCGTTCTCGGCGAGGCGCAGCTGTCGGAAAGCACCACGAGGCTGGAAAACCGCCGAGAGCCGACGAAAACGCCAGAAATCATCCCACGTTTGGGTGTTGCCAGAAGTGCCCCTGGCCCAATGTGCCCCCAGGATTTCCAAGGAGGCACCCAAGGCCTCCAGAGCACTGCTAACGAGCCCTAGAGGGCCCCAGGGCATCCAGAATGGAACGAAAAGCTGGAGGCACCTTGGGCCAGGGGCACCTTTTGCAACCCCGGGAACCTCGAACCTCGAGCCAGTCCCCCTCTACTGTTAAGTCGGGCCTGTCCCTCTACAGGAGGACTATTCAAAACTACTCCAGAAAATAGTCAGGGGGCGATTTTTTCATATCATGTTTCAACTCATTTGGAATATGTTTAGGGTATTTTTCACTTGTCTTCCAAAATCCGCCTGTATAGGGACATGCCCGACCTAATTCTACCGCTGCCCCTCAGAGGCGGCCCTCGGGGGATTCGGCCGCCTCGGGCCGGGGGAGCCCGCCTTCGTCCAGTCCTCGTGGCTCGGCGTCTCGGGCCGCAGGACGGAGGCGCACCTCCTGGCGCCGGAGCTCCAGGAGAGGAAAAGGCATCGACCCAGATCCTCCTCCTCCTCCTCCTCCTCCTCCTCCTCCTCCTCTTCCTCTTCCTCCTCCTCCCCTTTCGCCGCCCCCCGGGAGGCCGAAAAAGAACCCAAGCGCCACCCAGCAGAAACCCACTCTCCCTCTGTCGATGCTCACGCGTTGGCTGAGGTCGAGGCGGGCGGTCGGACGGACCTTTTCGGGTACGTCGTCTCCTCCTCCTCCTCCCCCCTCCTCCTTCTCCTCCTACTCCTCCTCCTCCCCCTCTTCCTGCTCCTCTTCCTGCTCCTCTTCCTGCTGCTCCTCATCCTCCTTTTCCTCCTCATCCTCCTCCTCCTCCTTGTCCTCCTCCTCGTCCTGCTCCTCCTCCTCCGCCTCCTTCTCCTCCTCCTCCTACTCCTCCTCCTCCTCCTCCCCCTCCGCCTCCGCAGCCTCCTCCTCCTGCTCCTCCTCCTCCTCTCCTCCTTGTCCTCCTCCCCCGTAGCTATTTTGTCTCAAGCCATTTTGGTTCAAGTACAACATGTACCAAGGCAGCTGGCCGTTCAGCCCTGTTCCTTTTACATAATTCGCAGGCCCGCCACGGCTGCCCAGCCTGCGGAGCCGCTCCATATCAGCAGAACGAAGTTCACCTTCGCGCAATTAGTAATTCAACTAATTCAAGTGCGTGTCTTCGGATTGGCTCTTCTCTCGCTTGGCATCGGACAGGCGGTACGTGGTCTACCTCACTTCAATTCTTCCGAATGGTTCAGATTATGCCCCAGCATCTTCCCGAAGCGACTCTGAAAGCAGAAGCCAAGCCGGTGGACGGCGACGCGATCGACGCAGACACCTTGAAAGTCGCAGTGGGAGAGATAGAGACCGTGGCCGTGATCGACACCGCCGACCTGATAGGGATAGACGCTACCATTCTTCTTGTTCCGAAGGATCACGCCAACCGCCCAAAGGACATAGTGGGCGATCTAAAGGACCTCTCGGACGCGAAGCCTCAGGAGCCCCTAAAGGTTTTCATTCAGCTGCTACCCAAGAAGCCTGGCAACGAGCCTACTTTCCCCTTTCAAGAGAATGCACAGTGGCAAGCCCATCAAGCACAGCGAGAACGAGATTGGCGCGAAACTCAAGAAGCCCACCAAACCCATGGAGCCGCCCGACTTGCAGCAGAAGCCGATACGGCCCTTGAAGCCGCCCGACTTACGGCTCAACAGCAGTGGTTGGCACATCAAGCCGCCCAAGCAGTTCAGCAGCGCTTTCCCATTACAGCAGCATCTACTGCCGCCGCAGCCAGCTCTGGACCAATGGCATCAGCTCCGGCGCCAGCTCCAGCAGCAGGAGGCACAGCCACGCCTACAGGAGCACCTTGGCCACAGTCAAATCTCGCCCCAGATAATCAGCACGAGCTCAAGCAGATCATGGCATCGCAGGTCGCAGCCATCAATGCAGCCGTCGGCAACACCGTCTCAGCCTCGCAGATTCAATTTCTCGCCGCAATACAGCGACACGAAGCAGCTACTACCCGCAGATTGGATGGCCAAGAGCAAGATCTCATGGAAATCAAGGCCGCACAAGCAAAGCAATAAGCCCAGCACCAAGATATCTGGAGTGCAATCGAGCGTGTCAACCAGCCGCTTAAGCCTCGGCGAAGCAGAGGCACCCATGTTGGACATGGCCAAACTACCGGACTGGGATCGCGAGCCAGATCCCGCCATCTTCGTTCTGTCCACCGCGCAGCCCGTCGCCACTGTCTTAGTTCGCGCCTCCATCGCCGAGTGGCTCGACGCATCAGAAGTGGCTCCGCAGCAGTTTCAGGTTCATGGAGAAGGTCAAATCAGCGTTTATCGCCATCGCCAAACCACCGGCCTTTGCACGGGCACTTCAGTTACCAGGCCGTGGTGGCTACAGACAGTTCACCATTCAGACGCCAACCAACGGCGTCATCAACAGTGGTCAGTACGTTGCGCTCCACGCCAACCCAGACAAAAGCATCAAGCGCATTAGAATGGACACCCAAACTAAAAAGCTATTCGCCCTCTGTCAGACTCACTACCCCACGCGCAATTGGCCCGCGCGTCGCGGTCAAGGGCGCATACTCTGCAACGCAATCCCCGCCGCCAAGATGGGGCTCACTAGCGTGGGCGCGGCAACCATGATTCGTTGGAACCAAGATGCGCTGGCCAAGGTCTCCATCAACAAGGCCACTATCGCTGCCGAGTTCGCTGCTCTGTACATAGCCGAGGATACAGTGCAGTGGTTTTAACAAACGCTGGTCGCCATGGCGGACGATTGCAACAGATGCTGATCACGCGCGCCCCCCTGGACCTGACATACCTGCAGGGCAGCGACCGCGCCCTCTACAGCATCTTCGACCAGCGCCTGAACGGGCTCCGCCTTGTCCTGCCGCTGCTGACGCTCCACAGCAACGTGATCGCGCCCCGCGTGAGCTCGAGCAAACTCCACGGCATCACAGGCCCCATCCTGCACGGGCTGTGCCGCGACGACAGGCACGCGGGGATCGGGGCACCCCCGTTGTTCCCGAGGGACTGGGGAGCCCTCCAGGTAGCACGTCAGTTTCCGCGGGCCTGGAGAGCCCCGCAGCAGCGCATCTTCCCCAGCATGACCTATTTCGCCCAGCTCAAGCCCTTCTTCTTTCAGAGCAAGATCGTCTTCTCGAGACCGACATGACTCAGGTGGCCTCAGTCTCGGGATTCATCTCGTCATCGGGCAGCGCTTCTTCTTTTAGTGCCAACAGCTCATCTTCTTCTTCCTCGCCCAGCACATCTTCGCGCACCCGCGCGCCAAGCCGACGCGGACTGCCACCCGGCCTTATGCCTCAGAGGCCGCAGGCTGCTACATCTGCTGGAATGCCAGGCGCCTCCACTGTCATGATGGGCGCAAGAGATGGGGAATCTGAGGCACATTGCTCCCTTCATGCGCGAGCGGGCCCTGATAGAGCTGGAAGACGCACGCGGCTCTCAATTGGGTCTCGAATCGCACATCGACATATTTCCATACGCTTATCAAGTACATGTCAGCGGCTGCCCCCTTCAGCCGCGGCAGAGGGGGAGTGGCTTTTCTGGTTCCGACACCTACATCGACTTCTACATCAACGTCGCTCTGGCCAGTTATCCGCGGACGAGCGGCCGTCCTGCACGTTGCTAACCGCGCCGCGGGCTTCGAGGCGCTCATTATGAACGTACGCAATCATGACTTGGTGGCAGAAGACATGGACGGAGCGGCCGAGGCGTTGCATGCCTCGCGGAGCTGGGCAGCAGCAGCGCCCCAGCAGAGACTCTTCATCGCCGTGGGCGGCTACAGAGCCAGTGGCGCCCCCCCCCCCCCCTTTCAACTTCAAAGATCCTTCTGCGCGCTGGTGGCATATGGCACCTGGCGGGCGGACAATATACAGGAGAGCAGGCGCGGCGGCGCCAACTCCTTTCCTCGCCCACAGAGATCACGCACGACCTCCCCGCGCGCTTCTCGGCCCGCACGCAAGCGGCCACGGCAGTCGACCGCGTCTTCATCTCCCTCTCGGGCTTCGACCTGACAAGCGCGGGCGCGCACCTGAAGATTCACAGAGACGGTGCAGCACGATCCGACAAATGTCTCAGCGATCAACCTATTCTTCATGTGCTTCTGGTCAACGCCTCAGCCTCACGGCCAGAAGAGCAAGCCATCGACCCCTTTCATCTTCCACGGCCCCACCTACCAGCGCCACTTCAACTTTCTGGAGGACAGCATTGCCAAGGCTGCGCTCGCGCCCAGCGCGGCTTGGAAGCATCGCAAGCTCATCGTCGAAGAAGCGGCGACGACTCACTCGCAACCTTCAGCAACGCGCCCCCCTTCAAGACCACAGTCGCTGGGCAAAGCATGGCAGGCCCACTACTCCGAGCGCAGTTTCACTGGCGATTTGGAGAAAGGGTTCAGACACAGCGTCGCAGTTCATGGCCGCGACCGACATCGGCAGCGCGCGCCTGCGCCTCACGGACGACGGCCCCGAGCTCACGAACAGGGGCGAGTATATCAAGCTGATGGACGCGGCGGCCACCGCCGACTGCGACAGGCGCGCCGCCCTCGCCACGAAGCGTCAGCTGCAGTCCAACGCGAGGATGCAGCTGGACCAGGCCGGCAGTCGGAAGGCCGCGATGCAGCTCGCGCGCCGGGCACAGGCTTGGAACCCGTTTCGCCGTCGATAGGCATTTTCAGGATTTCGGATACCGAAAGAGGGGGGACCAACAGCATCCCTCACCGCCACCAATTCCCCAGAGGGTATTCTCGGAGGCTTCCAGAAGTTTTGGCAGCCCATCTTCTCGAGCAAGATCGCGGGCCCCGTGGCGGTCCAGCAGTGCCTGTCCCAGCGCCCCCCCAAGTTCGATTGCGCGGACCTGCGGGTTCCAGCTCTTCAGGACTTCCAGAGGGCCTTCCGTAAGGTCAGACATACCGCTCCAGGCCCAGATCAGATTCCATGCGCTGCATGGGCCACCTCCCCTGGATCTTCTCAGATCCTTCATGACCTCATGATGCAGATGTTCGAAACTTGCCTGGCCCCGCGCCAGTTTAACGACTCGGTCTTCGCGTTTCTTCCGAAATGAGACGAACCCCAGGACCAGCGTGCCGTCGCTCGAGCTCCAGGTGCTCCACGCCCCCTCTCCTTAAAGAACTGCGACCCCAAGCTGATCGCTCATGTCGTGAATATGGGTCTCTTGGACATGGTCAGGGATCGGACAATAGACACACAACAGGGATTTGTAAAGGGGTGGAACTTCGGATAACACGCGCTGACCCTAGACTCTGAGGCCCGCAGAGCAGGTCACTCCCCAGATGCCTCAGATGCGTCCCCTATCCTTGCCAGCGTTGATATCAAAGCTGCCTTCCCATCCTTCGGATATGAAATCTGTTTGCAGCACTGGTAGCTCACGGGGTTCCTCCAGGCTATCTCAGTGCCATTTATGCGCTTTACCACTCCCCAGGAGCCTGGGCCCGTGTAGGTGGCCGTCTCCAATGCATGTTCGAGATAGGCTCAGGTGCTCTACAGGACTGCCACCTCTCGGGGTCGATGTGGGCCCTGGCCTTTGATGCACTCATTAGACACCTAGTCCAGATTTTAAGCACCTTCCCTGGATCCAAAATGCTCGGTGCCTGCGCAGATGATCTGGGTCTCGTCCTCGCTCGCCTTGGCCCCCCCCCTTTTCCCCCTTCCCCCGTTTCGGGCCATTGCTGCTCTCGCAGGACTCGAACTACAGGTCCAGAAAACAGTGATTGTGCCCTGATGGGCCCCCTTTTTTTCACCAGCCGTGCAATCGCGCACCCAGCGCCTCTTCGCATTTCTGGTACCTGCGTGGCAGCGCATTCAGACAGCAGAATACGCTCGCTATCTAGGCGCGCGCATAGGCCCAGCAGTTGCTCTAGACATCCCATGTAAAGCCGCATTTGATATATACTGGTTGCGCGTGGTACAATTGGCGGCGAGCGCCCCTGGCTCCGCAGTGGCGCGCAAACTGTATAACGCATGTGTTATCATTGTCCTCTCGTACATCACGCAGTGTGTTCCATGTCCAGTCACGTTCCTGAGGCACGAACGCGGGGCCCTGCATAAGGTTCCCAGGGCTCCCCCCAACTCCTGGCGCCTCGTCGACCTCCTCGGTGCTCGCTCGTGGTCGCAATCGTCCTCCCCCACTTCACTGATCACGCTTTCACTGGCCTCAGCGTGGCGCACGGCCTCTGCCGCGCTTCCTGACTGGAAGCATGTGTATCGCTCTTGAGTACTCGCTCAAGACCAGCTCAATCCAGAACTGTCTCTGGCGGATTTGGCCCAGGCCCGTATTCGGGCCACCTTTTTTCCCATGTGTGAGGAGCCGTGGCATCGTCGAATACTGGCGCGAGCTTGCTGACGGCAAACCGCCGTACTCTGTCTCACCGCTCGTCTGGCGTGCAGCTCAGCGAGCGGCCGCAGACGAACAGACTTCCGCTGTCCGAGAACCCAGGCGTGCTCGGGTCCAGCGATCCCTCTCTTCGGTCCTCCACTCCTCCCTTGTCCCCGACAAGTTCGCAGAGACTCTAGCACGCCGTCCCTCCTCGGCGCTGCCCGATCTCGCAGTGCCACCGAATCTGCCCGACCACTGGCAGGAATTAACCAGCTGCCTTTCGAAGAAGGCCCCAGCCATTCGCTGGGCCGTATATAAGACTTTGGCGGGAGCGTGGTGGACCAGCCACCGCTTCCCCTTCGGCCCGCGCCGCACCTGTCTGCTCGGGTGCGATGCTTGCCCCGATCGTCTCGGCCATTGCCTCACCTGCCCCCGCCTCCTTCACTTCCTCGCGTTTCCTCGTTCTTTCCTCTCCTCGGACCCCCTCGTTCGCATCGGCCTAGGGACGCCTGGGCAACGCGCTAACCCTGAGCACGCCATTCCAGAAGCTGTCCGTCGGACAGCGCTTTCATTTCACTTCTGTAACAAACTGCGTGTCATGACGCACGCCGCGCCTCGCGCCGCGCTTCTTTACACTACAGGCATTGAGCGCCGCGCCGCTGCACTGCGCGCGAAGAGGCCGTAGCTTGAGACGAGCTGGAGCGGGGACACTTGCCCTCTCTCGCGTCTTGCCCGCTTGCCCTCGTCTCTTCCTGTCTTGGTACGGGGTCACTCCTTGTCCTCCTCCTCCTCCTCCTCCTCCCCCTCCCCCTTCCCCCAGTTGGATTTGCTGTCCGGGAGGGGAGATTCGACGACACAGGTGGCGTAGCCGCCAGCACGTTCGGGCGAATATGCCACGGAGAAACAGACACCGACCAGGATCTCCGACGATACGAATTTGCCGGTGCGAGCGTTTTTCTTATCCTGAGATACCATGGTGTCTCATTTTTTTTTGAGCTGGCCGTTTTCGTTTTATCTCGGGCCCGGGACCCTCACATATCGATCCGGCTTGAAGAATGGAGCATCCATATAGGATCCAGAGCTCCAGCCGCGATCTTTCACAATGTTGTGTTTCTTTCGTCGCTGCGTCGAATCTCGGGATCGTTCTCGGTCTCTGGGGCCCACTTTCGGGCCCCTGGTAATTTTTCCGGGGCGAAAAACCAGTCCAGGGGAATGGGTCCGGCACTGAAAACCTCAGGTCGTTGGATGTCTGGGATGCCGCTGCTCAGCCTACAGAGCCATCGTCGCCACAGCTGGAATATCCTCCAAGTTCTATGCCGAGATCTGCTACGTTTTAGTTCCCAACCATCCATCCAGTGGTGTTGGGTCATCGCTTTGAAGAGACAGCGACCCGCATTGCTCCTCCCGCTGCCCCCTCCCCCCATCCTTCCACCCCTGCCTCTGCCCTCCGCGCCAGTCAACAATTTCGGCACACTCCTCACACGTTTCGTGGCCCCACAGGGAGCTCCACCGAGGGCCCCATTGGCGGCGGTCGCATGGCACCACCACGCTCACGTCGGCACACCTCTCACACGCTTCGTGGCCCCATAGGGAACTCAACCGAGGGCCCCAGTGGCTTCACTCGCATGGCACCACCGCACTCATGTCGGCACACCCTCACACGTCTCGTGATCTAATAGGGAGTTCCACCGAAGGCTCCAGTAGCTGCGCTCGCATGGTACTACAGCGCCCATTTCGGCGCACCCCTCACACGTCTCGTGGTCCCATAGGGAGCTCCACCGAGGGCCCCAATGGCCTCGCTCGCATGGCATCACCGCGCTCATGTCGGCAAACCTTACACGTCTCGTGATCTAATAGGGAGTTCCACCGAAGGCCCCATTGGCTGCGCTCGCTTGGCGCTACCGCACCTTCCGGCACCCCCCTCACACGCGTTCGAATGCGCCCACCGTGCCCATTTCGGTACATCCTTCACACGTTTCGTGGCCCCGCGGGGAGCTCCATCGAAGACGATTTTCACAACTGCGTGACTCACAACTGTATATGGTTGGGTCTTTCGCCAGGCGAAGTTTCTCAATATGCGGTCCTTGGAAGTCCCGACCTTCTCCCAAGTGCCCGCTTTTCATCCCGAGTCGTTGTTTGACAGTCTCGAGGCCCAGCGAGGGCCCCCCTGAGGCCGGCCGAAAACGGCCAAAAATTGTTAGTTGGGATCTTTTTGACGCGAGCATGTCTGGGTAGTCAGAATGCACCCCGGGAGAGGCCTGGGGAGTAGCAGCGTATCGGTGCCTGTTGAGTATCCCGCCAGGAGCCCAGGGTTTGCCTGGAGTGGGCGAGGATCAGGCCGGGCGGACGGCAACGGTCTGCCTCCCACATGGGGTCGAAGGATCGCTCCGCATCGACGGTGCATCGACGATGCGGCTCAATGTGGAGCCAGAGTTTCTGCACGCCGACGGCGCCGATGCATCGCCGTGTCGCCGATGCATCGGCGAGGCATTGGCGGTATGGCGCGATCCTCCGACTCTATGTGCTCGGACCCCATATAGGAGGCCTCTAAACGGGGGGGAAGTGAACGGCGGCGAAGACAGGCGCACCTTTCGAGCACCAATTCTGGCGGGTTTTTAAATTCAAAAAACTGGTGTTTGAATTCAAGTGTTTTTGAATTCAAAAACCAGTGTTTTTGAATCCGAAAACCAGCTGTTCCTCCCCTTCGTTTGTAAAGGGTAAGTTCCCTGCAGCCCTCTGATCGCCCCTCCCGGCATGACACGCCCAGCTGTCTTCAATCCGCGGCCCCTGGAAGTCCCGACCTGTTCCCCAGGGCCGGCTTTTCATCCCGAGCCGTTGTCTGACAGTGCCGAGGCCCGGCGAGGGCCCCCCCCCCGGAGGCCGAAAACGGCAAAAAAATCCCCGTCGGGACTTTTCACGAGCAGCACGTCTGGGCCTGCAACCCTCCGATCGCCCCTCGCTCCCAGACATCCAACGATGTGATGTGCGTTCCAGTCCGCGCCCCCGTTGGGGTCCCGACCAGGAGGCTGCTTTTCGCGCCGCGTCCGTGTTGGATAGCCGCGGGGCCCAGGACTGGGCCCCCGGAACATCTACGCCTCCAAAGTGAGCGACAGAAGAAAGGGGGGTCGTCTTCACCGGCAGTGGCACGTAAGCTGCCCGCGTAAGGTCGCGCGTAAGCGCCCTCGTCTCCAACGTGGCGTGCCGCTCTGGCGGCCCGCGCAAGCTGCGTCGTGAGGTCGCCATGTCGCCTCGCGTAAGACCCGTTTATCATCGTCGCTCAGAGGGGGTCCGAGTTGATGGGGTTGGAGGATCGCGCCGCATCGCCGATGCATTGTCGATGCGGCTCGGTGTGGAGCCTGGTTTTCTCTCACACTCTCTCCACGCCGACGTCGCCGATGCATCGCCGACGTCGCCGATGCATCGCCAATGCATCGGGGATGCGGCGCGATCTGCCGACCCCATCTGCTCGGACCCCAGTTGGGAGGCCTCCAGCACAGCGCCAGGGGCGAAGAGCACCCAGAGCTGCGGGCCTCCACTCGGGCCCCAGGGGCGCTCGGGACGACCTGGGCACCCCTGGAGCGCTCTCGACGAGGCGCAGCCGCTGAAGAGCAGCCCGAGGCTGGAAAGCCTGCGGGAACCGCCGACCAGCGCCCGACGGGCCCCCAGGAGGCCGGGATCGAAGCAGCCACGTCGTCGGAGGCCTGGGCCTCTCGCGCCGCCCGCTGACGCCCATCCGAGCAGGGCCCTCGCCGAGACCCGCCCGCCCGCCGAGCACGAGGCCTTCCGCAAGCCCGCCGTGCGGCCGCCCCTGGGGTGCTCGTCGAAATGTGAACGGCCCCCACGCAGGGGGGCTCACACGTAGACCCAGAGATCCAACGTATTCAAAACATCAAGGCGGAGGTCTTTCGTATGTTTCGGCCTCGAGGGGCCTTCGCCGGTCCCCGGGACCGTGGACAAAACAACTCAGGATGAAAAACCGGTGTTTTTGTTCCCCTCCTCCTCCTCGTCCTCCTCCTCCTCCTCGTCCTCCTCCTCCTCGTCCTCGTCGTCCTCCTCCTCCTCCTCCTCATCCTCCTCCTCCTCCTCCTCCTCCTCCTCCTCCTCCTTGGTCACAGGCGAGGGCGCAGCCCATGGCCGCCGACCGCAGCAGACTGGGGGATGGACAGGCATAGCGGCGGGGGCATGGGCCCTGGTCGCGGATGGCGCGAAGCCCGATTGAGTGGGCGCGGACCTTGTCCGCGGGCGCTAGGTTGGGCACGGGCCCAAAAACCAGTGCCGCGCGCTTCGGCCGCGGGCAAGAGCTCAAACTCGGGTCTCGCGGAGTTGCACGGGCCCGGCCGGCTGCAGCCGCGAGTTCAGGCGTTCGCACATCGGCGGGGGTCAATGGCCCCAGCGGGGGCGTTTATTGCTTGGGCGCGGGCCCATTCGGCATTAGGGGACCCGCAAACGTTGCCACTGGACAGTTTTGTGTTGTTGTGGTTCAGCGGCGAGGGTTCTGACCCCGGCCGCGTGCATAGCGTGCACTGGTGAGGGCTTGAAGGCAAGGTCGCCGTGGGAAGGTCATGGCTCGCGCAATGGCCGCGAAAAAGGCCATGCTACTATAGCAACCGCTGCAGTCTTTGGCACTGGAGGTGTCAAATAGGATCTGGATGCCAACCCCCGTCGATGGACAGGTGTTGGTCTCCACCCCAGGGCCGAAAGCTAATTAGGCTTCCCATCCCTGTCGATGGACAGGCATGGGCATCCCCTTTCTTCACCTACGGCACTAACGGTGCAAAATAGCCTAAAGCTAAGGTGTCCATCCCTGTCGATGGACAGGTATGGGCATCCCCCACCCAGCAATGGGGGGGGTGCTTGGCATGCGAAAACTTGAGCCCAATTAGGCGGCCGTGGGAAGGCCAGATTGTCGCTGCGGGCGCGGCAGTCACCACCCATGGAGCTCTGAAGAGGGGCCAACGAGGACCCGAGCGGGCCCCAAGAGGAACCCAAAAAGGTTGTGCGAAGCATGAGTAGGTTAGCCCCTGCTCAGAGGAGGGGAGAAATTACTTGAGTTTCGGTTCATTCTGAGGACCCAGACCCGATCTTTATGGGTCGGGGCGCCCATCGTCACATAGTCGTCATAGACGGCGCTGGGATGTGTTGCTTCGCTTACGGGCTGTCGGGAGGTAGGTCTAGTGTTACAAGGGTTGTTTGGGCCCGCTGGCATCGCCCTTCTCCTCAGGCCCGCCTCGTGGCTCAGTGAGTGGCTATGCGAGGCATGAGTAGGTCAGCCCCTGCTCAGAGGGGGGGAAATTTGCCATCTTCCTTCTTTGCTGGGGAATCTCCTCTGTCTTTCCGACAATCCAGCTTGAACCAATAGGGGCCTTCAGGTTCTATCCGCCCTGACTGCACCATCCCATCGGGCGCTGCGTTCATGCTGGGCTGTCGCCCTCGAGGGAGAGCAAGCTTTGTTGGACGAAGCCGGCGTTCATTTGTGTGACGCCCAAAGTGGTCCTGATCTTGAGTGGTACAAGGGTGGCTATACCAGGTCACTGGCTCCACCCATGGGGTTAAGGCGCCCCGAAGCCATATCACTTCAAGTCCTCCTCCTCCTCCTCCTCCTCCTCGATCCTCCTCCTCCTCCTCCTCCTCGAGCTCCTCCTCCTCCTCCTCCTCCTCCTCTTCCTCCTCCTCCTCCTCCTCCTCCTCCTCCTCCTCCTCCTCGTCCAAACGGACCCTGAAATGTCGATCCTCGCGAGACCCAGGCACCCTGTCATGGCCCCTCCCAGGAGACAGGCAGACAGTAGTTCGAGGCGAGCTGCTGGCCCTTCTCCTCGCCATGCAGGTATCGGATTTAGACGTCGTTTTCATCACAGATTGCGAGGGAGTCTACCTCAACTTCTACAATGGGCATCCGAGCTCACCAGTTGGACCAGACGCAGACCTGTGGCACCAGGTGGGCGTCGAGCGAGCAAGAAGATCAGGCGATTTCGTTGTGCTGTTTACCAACTCTCACGCCACGGGCGAGGACGTCGCCCTCGGCCGTGCCAATGCTTCATTTGCCTACGGCAACACCGTCGCCGACGAGTTTGCAGCAGTCGCGGCCGACAGCCATCGAGTTGAAAAGCACCTCCGCCAGCAGATCCAGGGAATCGAGAATGACGCCTACCTCGTCCGCATGAGGCTCCTGAGGTCCACCTTAGAGGCTCTAGAGTTCGAGAAGGCTCAGATTCGTGAGCTACCAGCAGGAAGCCGACAGCCTAGGAGAGCGAAAGCCCAGCCTGTCCGCCCTCCTGCCCCCTCCCTGTGCGCCGCTTTCAGGTCATCTCACCAGTTAGACGACACAGGTAGGCAATGCATTATATGTAAGGGGTCGGCCACCGCTAGCACCCGTGTTGAATGGTATGATTCAGAGTGTTTCAACCTTGAAAATGTAGGTGGCACTTATATGAGACCCCCCCTGGGCAAGCAGGTTCATGTAGCAGGGGGGTGGGTTCATTTAACCCATCATCCGAGGTTCCACGCTGGGCTGGGGATTTGGTTCTGCTCCACATGCGGGAGCTACGTCTCCCAGCAGATTGCGAAGCTAGCAGCGATGTGTCAACCCCCCTCGGCCACGGGGCGCGAGTATCTTAGACGTATCAATTCGGGTCTTTGGCCCAAGGTTCTCAGTAAAGCTGAGCAAGCCCAGAGGAGCAAGCACCTACAGTAGGTGCAGCGGAATTTTTATCATATCATCGCTACGCGATCAGGCAGATACTCCAGATACTCCTCCTCCTCCTCCTCCTCCCTCCTCCCTCCTCTTCCTCCTCCCCCTCCCTCCTCCCCCCCAAACGGACCCTGGAGTGTCGACCCTCGCGAGACCCAGGCACCCGGACATGCAGACCCCGACCGCCTGTGTGTTTTCCCTTGAGGTACTCCGTGGCGCCGTCGCCCCCCTGCTGGCACACGGCGGCCGCGCGCGCGGGGCCTCTTCTAGGCCTCTAGGCCTCGGGCGAGCCTCGGAGGCGGGCCGGGCGAGACCACGCGGCAGGCCGACTGCGGGGGGCTCCCTCGCCGCCACGGCCGGGCGCGGGCCGGAAAGCTGGCGCGCATTCAGACCCATGGATCCAACGCATTTTTTTTTTTAAAAAAAAAAAAAATAAAAAAATATTTTTTTATAAAAAAAAAAGAAAAAAAAAAAACGGAGCTTGTTCGTGGTTTTCGGCCTCGAGGCCTCGAGGTGCCCGAGGCCCTCGCCGGGTCCCGGGACCGTGAAAACAAGCTCAGGATGAAAAACCGGTCCCGGGGAATGGGTCGAGACTTCCGGGGACCCCGTATTGAAACAATCACGACGTCGGATCTTCGGGTTCCCTGAGATCTGACGCTCCAGAAAAATCGGAGCGGCAGGTTTTTGGGCCGTGTTCGACCTCTGGGGGCCTTCGCTGCGCCTCGGGAGCGTCTCAAAACGGCTCGGGGCGAAAAACAGGTCCTTGGGAAGCGTTCCAGACCTCCAGGGCCCACGCATCGAAAAAAATCGGAGCGGCCGGATGTCTGGGTTTGGACCCTGGGAGGGGTCCAGGGAGCGATTTTGAGCTGGTTGTCTGTGGAGGTGCGGCTCGCCACGGAGGGGGGGGGAGTTTGGGAGTTCTGGGTTCGATGTCCGAGATTTTCGGGCGCTTTCGGCGGAATTCTCGGCGCCTCCCAGACTTCGGCGTCGTGATTTTCGTTCGCGACGTGACCCCCAGCGTCTGGACCCCTTCTCCGGGAGCGGCCTTTCGTCCCAAGTCGTATTTATCGGGGGCGGCAAAGAGGGGGGATGATGACTGGGGGGGGGTGGATATCATGGCGGGGGCCATGATATCTCCCCAGGTTTCATGGCGCCTCTCCTTCTTTCATTACCTCCCTGGGTCCCCCACTGGGCCGCGCACGTGCCGCCAGCCATGAATTGCGCCCCCTCTTGGACGCCCCCCTCTTTGGCCGCCCCCGAATTTTGACGGGTACGGGGCCCGACGACGGCACCCCAAGGCCGAAAACAACAGAGAGCCTTCCGTCGTGAGAGTCTTGGAGCGACGCGAGGGCCTCCGGGCTCGGGGTGCGCTTCGGCGGCTGCGCCTCGCCGAGAGCGATCTGGGGATCGATCGTGTTGGATGTTTGCTTTGGGGGGACCTTCCCGGGGGCCACCTCACGGATCTGTTCGACTCAAGTCCGACTCTACAGTCAACCCGAATAGATAGTAAGGATGGGCAACTTTCCAAGGCTACCCTTGCAACCTCTTGCCCCTTCGGTGTTCGGCATCCTTCGGCATCCTGCTGCGCTCCGCACGGAAAATGTCAACATGGCGTTCCAATGCCCTTGCATCCTTACCGCGCACCCTTACTATACTGGTTGACTGTAGTTCGACTCTGGATTGAATCGAGTTCGACACCAGCCCGACTCTGCTCCGACCCAAGGTCGGCGCACGGTCGACGCACCGTCGCCGCATGTGGGGAGCGAGCGGCTCCAGGAAGGTCCCCAGAAGCGGGCCGGACGGAAGGGCAGGATAGGGGAAGGGGGGGTCACGAGATCTGCTGCGTGCAGCTGGTCTCTGACCCGCCGGCAGGCCCGTTCCTCGACGCGAGGGCGCCTCCCTGCGCCAGGAGGCGCCAGGCGCACCGGCTGCGTGAGCCGACTTTCCCTGCCCTTCCCTGAATGAGATCGCACATGTTTTCAGCAGTGGTTGGGCCCCCCGCGACTCTGCCTCCGCGGGACGTGGCCTCGGCTGCTTAGCGCCTGGAGCCCCAGTGTCACCAAGTGTGTGCGAGCATATCAACGTATCGACGACCATCTTTCGCCCCAGGGCACTAGAGCAGTAGGACACTTGAGACATCAAATCCACCACCTACCCCGACCTACCCGCCGGAAGCTAAGCACCGTCTACCCTCGGGGCTCAAGAGACGGGGGTCAATGCAAACAGGGGTCAGGCAGAGCGCTGGACCCTGCAGGATCCTGCGGGGTCGGGGGCGCACCGACCCGGGCTTGGGTGCAGGATCCTGCAGGACTCTGCAGGACTTTGCAGGATCTTGCGGCCAGACTGGCCCGGGCCTGGGTGGGCCCGGGTCAGAAGACCCCCGACACTTGAGTCTTGAGCTGCCGCCGTCCAGGCTCGCCCTGCTCCGATGGTCAGCGACGTCCGCCCGTCCAACTCAGGGCCGTCCGCGAGCCCGGGCCGCCCGCTGTCCAAGGTGGAGAGGAGGAGGAGGAGGAGGACGTGGAGGAGGAGGAGGAGGAGATATGAGGAGGAGGAGGAGGAGGAGGAGGAGGAGGAGGAGGAGGAGGGGAGGAGGGGAGGGGAGGAGGGGGGAGGAGGAGAAGGAGGAGGAGGAGGAGGAGGAGGAGAGGGAGGAGAGGAAGAGGGAGAGAGGAGGAGGAGGAGGAGGAGGAGGGAGAGACAGGAGGAGGAGGAGGAGGAGGAGGAGGAGGAGGAGGAAGGGGAGAAGAGGAGGAGGAGGAGGAGGAGGAGGAGGAGGAGGAAGAGGCGGAGGAGGCGGAGGAGGAGGAGGAGGGAGGAGGAGCTGTCCCACTCTCTCGTGCGCTGAGCCGCCGCCGCCACAGCTCGCCCTGCTGCGATGGGCGCCCGCCGCCCGCTCGTCGAGCTATCGGGGCCGTCCTTGGGCGCCCGGGGCCGCCCGCCCGGCGGCCGCACCCCTTGGGTTCTCCGCGGCGCCGCCGCCGCCCGGGCGGGACCGCAGGGGCAACGCCATAGAATTACGCGAGATTCTCGATTCGCATGCTCTCGTGAGACATATAGTCAAATTACACGCGAGCCTCGGCCACAAAGAAGTTCCCAGAGCTAGGCCGTGGCCCGAAAACCGATTCCCCTCCTGAACACAAGGCGAACCCTTCGCCGTCCCGGCTGCACGCAGGAGTGACCCGAATTACGCAAGAGTGACCCTTAGTGCGCGGATTACGGGAGCTCAAGGTGGCCAAACACTGATTACACCAGAGAAAAAATCCAGTCAGTGGATGGTTTTCGCTGAGGAGATCGACCGGGAACCTGGGAGCCCAGGAACCCAGAACCCACCGAAATGGGCCCGGAACCAATAGCCGGGAACCCAACCGGGAACCAGTGAACCCAGCCTGCTACCAAAGTTGGCGGGAAATGTTTGCCAAATCTTCCAACTTCCGCTAGGACCCCTTCAGTGCAAGCATTGATTGGGGAACAATGTCGTACATACTCTCGGAACCGATGTTGAAAACATATGTCAAAATGTTCTCTCCAAAACTCGCCGAGCGCGTTCCACTACTCCAAGAGTGCCTACTCGCAAACATCCGAAAAACACATGTCTGCTCCGGTGTGATTCATCCTAGATCCCCCGCAGGGGATCCAGGCTATTTGCGAGTAGTTATTTTGCGAGTAGTGAAGCGCGCTCGTCGGCAAACGGATTTCCAACTACGATGACGCTATTGATCGACAATTTCGGGAAGCACACACTGAACATTCGACTCTATAGAGAGGTTATGTGTCGTTCCCACCCCGCGTATCAGGAGTGCATCCCAGACATAACTTCGAGCACCGAGAATATTATCGAAACTTTGTCTGCCCGACACGCTGGCCAAGTGCCGAACGAGAATCGCCTCCCAGGGCCGGACACGTGAGAACCTTCCAGTTCCGATGCTTTCTTGGCGCTCGAGTTTCACTCTCTCGATCAGGGCTGCGCCATGCCCAGACCCTCTCGGGTCATGAACATATCACGACGGGAGGCGTTTGGCCCTCTTCTGCTTCTCGTGGCCCCTGCCGGGGCCTCGATTCCGTCAGAGAGCAACTCGGGCCTCGACTCCGTCAAAGCGTAAAGTCAAGGATTTCACCATGATGACGTCAATTGTTTCGGCCACAGCTTTCAACTGCAGGCGTCCAGATGCTTGCCACGAGGCGTGAAGGCGCCACGTGATACCTCAGGGCTGAACCTAAACGGTGTTTTGACGATTTCTTGGGCCGTCTTCGTTTCGACTTCGTTTTGCGGCAGAGGCGGGTTGACGACACCACAAGGGAAAACGAAAACAAGACGAAAACGAAAAACACCGCTTAGGCTCAGCCCTGTAATACCTCAGACAGCTCTCGTGCCGCCGGCGATGCGATGCGATGAAAGACCGGCCTCGGGGAATGGGCCCAGACCTCCTGGGGATCGGCGTCGTGGAAGGGGCGTGCGCGCGGGGGCTCGAGGCTTAGGTCGGGCACGTCCTTCTACAGGAGGGATCTTCCCAAATAGTCCAAATATCGCATGGGGGCGTTGAAAAAAACATGTTTGATGATTTGGGGGGCCGTTTTTTACTACTTTTTGTTTTTCCTCCAAATTCCGCCTGTAGGAGGCCCTGCACCGACCTGAGTCGAGGTTCGAGGTTGCGCGACGTTTTCTCGCTTCTCGGCAGGGGGCAACGCCAGGGAACGGTGGGCCGAGGCGGGACCTCAAGGGCAACGCCATGCCCAGAGCCCCTCGGGTCATGAAAAAATAACGACGGGAGGTCTTTGGCTATTTTCGTCCTCTTGTGGTCCCTACTGGGGCCTCGGAGCCGTCAAGAAACGACTCGGGATGAAGACCAGTCCCGGGGAATGGGTCGAGACCTCTGGGGATCAACGTCATGGGAGGAGTGGACCGGGTCGAAGTTTGAGGGCGTTTTTGTCGCTTCTCGGGAGGGGTGACGCCATGGGAGGTGTGGGCTCAGAGGAGGTTGAGCTTCGAGGGTTGAGGGCGTTCTCGTCGCTTCTCGGCAGGGTCGACGCCAGGGAAGGGTGGGTTCAGAGGGGGGTCGAGGTTCGAGGCTGCCGGACGTTCTCGTCGTTTCCCGGCAGGGGCAGCGCCAGGGAGGGGTGGGCTCAAGGGGGGTCAGGGTTCCAGTCTCGAGGTTGCCGGACGTTCTCGTCGGTTCTCGGCGGCCATGTCCTGCCTCGAGGTGCATCCCAGGAGTTGCGCCTCGGCGGGAGCGTTCCGGAGGGGTGTCCCCCTTGCCCCCAGCGGCCGCGGGAGGCCCGAGCTGCGACCCCCAGATCGGACGACGAGGCTCGCCAGAGTGGATGGGCTCAGGTTGGACGCGTAAACCCCAGAGATCCAACGTATTGAAAAAATCAGGACGGAAGTTTTTCGTATTTTTCGGCCTCGAGGGGCCCTCGCCGGGCCCCGGGACCTTGACGAAAACGACCCAGGATGAAAAATTGATCCTGGGGAATGGGCCAGGACTCCTGGGGACCCCGCACTGAAAAAATCACGACATCGGATCTTTGGGACCCCCATGTCGCTCATTCATCGCCGACGAGGGCCTGATAGTCCATCCCGCCCAGGGACGTGCGGTTTCGCTGCCGGGCCCTCAGATCTGACGTTTCCCCCAAACAATGCAACATCGCGAAGGAGTCATCACTGGAGCCCCGGGCCCCATCTGTCGGCATCATTTTTTGAGCCGGAGCGGTCCGTGACGGTCCTGGGGCTCGAATTTCCGCGAAAACGCCAATTGTGAGAAAAATGTAGAGCCAAGATCTCAAGGCTCGCTGTTGGGGCCTATCGCCAATTCATCGGCGATGTACCGCCGACTCAAGCTCGATGTTCCTTCCCGCTGAGCTGGCCCCCCTCCAGTGAACATTGCCCCTCGAGGACCTCGGCGCCCGCGCGCGCGGGGCTGGGCGGCCCTTCGTGAGCTCAGCCCCTGAGGCGCGCGCCAGTCGTTCGCATCCGCCAGGATCCTGTCGGGGGAGCGTAAGACCCGGGTTTGCCAGGACTCGGGTTCGCCATCGTTTTTTGACGACCGCGCCTCGGATTTTGACGAGGAGGAGTTTCGTGGGATGTCTGCAGCGGGAGGCCTCGTCAAAATGCAGGCTCGGCCTCGTCATTTTTTTGGCGACCTCGTCGGGGATTTCCGAGTCCCCCGTACCCGGGTCTTACGTCTCCCCGATCCTGCGGTCAGGAACTTTGGCTTAGCGTGTCGCGCCGCTGGTTCTGGCCCGCCGCGCTTCGGAGCGACGCGCTATCCACGTTCCAGTCCCCGAGCGTCGATGTCCCGAGCCTTTCCAAGCCTTCCGCCCCGCGGAGCAGAGCGACACGCTGTCCGCTCGAAGGGCATAGCTTGTCGCGGGCGCCGCCGCCGCGACACGCTAAGCAAAAGTTCCCGACCCTAGGATCGCAAATCTTCAGCGTTTCTTCTCTCCTCCTTGAGATCCTGGCGTCTCAGGGGTCCAGGGGTGTCCGCCTCGTCCCGAAGGGCCGCTGGAGAGAGCAAAGTCTATGGCCCGAAACTTTGCGTGTTTGAGTGCCGCCTCCTCCGCGGCCGCCCTGTCCGTCTTATTCCCGTGCGTGCCGGGCAATTCGCTTCTCGGCGTCCCCGTTTAGCTCTATCGCTGATGCAGCCATTCTGCCTCGCGACCGACGAAAAAAGTGTTAGGTCGGGCATGTCATCCGGCAGGCGGGGTTGGGACGAAAAGCAAAAGTCGTACATCTTCAAATGCGATCACAATTAGTTTAAAGTTAAAACATATCGTCCCCCTGGCTATTTTGAACTATTTTTGAATTTCACTCCTGTAGAGGGGCATGCCCGACTCACAAAAGTGTTTGAGTGCCGCCGCTTCTCCTCGGTCTCGGCCTTCGCGGCCCGTTATCGGTCCCCAGGGGCCATCAAAAATGGATCCAGGGCGGCACATTCGTGATCGTTCTTTATTCGTTGTTTTGCCGATCGGCGCAGGCCCTCGCACCCCCGCCCTCCCCCCTCCCCCGTGGAGCAGATCTTGGCCTGTCTTGGCGCCTGTTTCGAGCAGGTGGAGGTCTCCCCCATAGGACGCTCGGTTCCATACAGTCGTATTAGGCAGAGGTCCGGAGCCAGACCCCCACCCTTCACCCCCCCCTTCCGCCCAATGTCAGGAGGGGAAGAAACACACAGACACAATAAATAGTCGATCCCCAGGAAGATATGGGAAAATATGGGAAGTGGGGGGGGGGCGACGAAAACCCAGAAAATATGATACAGTATGGGGAAGCCTGGGATTTGTATATTTATGTGTGTGTGTGTCCTAGGGCCCCTTTACAATGTCGAAGCGCAGTATAAAAAAATGCTCCCATTCCTCCTTGGGAAAAGGGGTCTGAGCCTCCCTGAGGCCGCGCGCACCGAATCAACAAGGCACGTCGTCGGAGTTCTGGAGTAGCCTCTCGGCCCCGCTGCTGCTGCTGTAACGCCGTCAATTGCCACCTTCCGTTTCAACTCGCCGCCGTGGGCAATTTTCCCATCCTTCCCAGCGCAGGCGGCAACCTCTTTTCCCATATAGAGGTTGCAGGCAAGATTTTCAGCGTCGTGCGACATGAAATTACCCTTGAGGATCGGCACCATGCCGCTCTCACATGCTACGGCCTGGCGCTCGGTGCCGGGCCGTCTGTGTCAAGTTCACAATCACCAGTGGTGCATGGTGCCGTTTGGCTCGTGGAGCGCTTACAGAAAAACGGATGGCGAGGGTGATGACAGCTTGCGGGAGCGGAGGCCAGTCCATAGGTTATGATGTTCCAACCTAATTTAGCCTTAACCACCAGATAGAATTTCTAGCACCAAACGAAGCAGCAGAACTCGATGGTTTTCACGTGTCAGGCTCTGGGAACCACTCGTCCGACACTGGTTCGACACTGTCTCTGCATTGTTTCGACATGTTTCAGGGTGCTCGAAGTTATTGCTGGGATGTGGTCCTTAAGTGCGATGGGAGCAACAACATCCATAGCAGTCAGGGAACGCAGGGTGAAAACGCCCAGGGCGAGCCACCGCCGCCCCCTGCCTTGTGGACTCGCTGCTGTGGCCAGACGCGCTGGGCCAGAGTATGGCCAAGCTGTCGGACTGTGTGTTCCGCACAGCCGTTCTGGAAACCTTTGGGGGAGTACGCGGGGGAGCAAGAGGAGGAGAGGAGGAGGAGGAGGAGGAGGAGGAGGAGGAGGAGGAGGACGATGAAGAGGAGGAGGAGGAGGAGGAGGAGGAGGAGGAGGAGGCCCCTTGGGGTCCTCGTGGGGTCTCCTGCGAGCTTTTTTCCATGCTCTCCAAGGGGCCTCGTTGGGACCTCTGGGGGGCCTTCTGGAGACATCTAGGGGCCTCGTGGAGGCCTCTTGGGCAGTCTCAGGGCCCTTTCGGCCCGTAGGACGCATTCGGAGGCAGCATTGGGGCCTGTCTCTGCTGCCTTGGGGCCAGCCTTGTGGCTCTGTAGGGCCGTCTTGGATGTCTTCTTGGCTGTCCTGAGGCCCTCTTGAGGCCGTCTTGGGGGCATCTTGCCCCGTCTTGGGACTCTCTTAGGGGCTTCTTGGGTCTTCGGGATGCGTTGAGCCGTCTCCAGCTGTCGGAAGCCCCTGCGAGAACGCTGCAATCATTGAACAACCTTCGTAAGCAGCAATGATGTTGGCGTCTTCGGGCCCTCCCTGAGGCCTCTTTGAGGCCTCCTGGGCGGTCTTGAGGGCTCTGGGGCCGTCATGGGGCCGTACTGGGCCGTCCTGGAGCCACCCCGGGCGATCTTGGAGTTTTCCTGGCTTCCCATTTGGGAAGTTTTGAATTCGTCTCCAGATCTTGGGCCAAAACAGCTACTGAGTCACACTGGGGCTGCTGGGCCACATGTCATGGGTGTCGGTAGTGTTGTTAGTTGCTGTTGCCTGTTGATGCTGACGCGTTCTGTCCTTTCCCCCTGCCCTCCTCCTCCGTTTGCCCGCCCCGTTGCGGGGGGCCGTCTTGGAGGCCGCGTTGGCCATCTCGGGGGAGGGCGACGTGGGCTTCGGGGCTCTTTCTGGGCGGTCGGGCGGAGCGGCCGAGGCCCCACACGAGCGCCAGGCAGAGCTGCAAGCCGTGGGGTCGTCGTCGTCGTGGTCGTCGTCGTCGTCGTCGGTGTCGTTTTCGTCGTCGGTGTCGTCGTCGTCGTCGTCGTCGTCGTCGTCGTCGTCGTCGTCGTCGTCGGTGTCGGTGTCGTTTTCGTCGTCGGTGTCGTTTTCGTCGTCGGTGTCGTCGTCGTCGTCGTCGTCGTCGTCGTCGTCGTCGTCGTCTTCAGTGTCGTCGTCGTCGTCGTCGTCGTCGTCGGCGTCGTCGTCGTCGTCGTCGTCGTTGTCCTCGTCGTCGTCGGTGTCGTCGTCGTCGTCGTCGGCGTCGTCGCCGTCGCCGTCGTCGTCGTCCTTCGCCACCCCTTGGCCAGCAAAAAGATGGTGGCGCATCGACGACGCCCACAGTCGGGTCGAGGTATGAGATCGAGGTCGGTTCGGGGAGGGTGTCCTGATGCTCTTCGCGCGCTCGCTGGGCGCTCTCGTGCATCCTGGGGACAGTACCCTCGGATGGTCGATCTTCTCAGGAGGCACGAGTGCTTCTGAGGAGTCCCGCCGCCTTCTGAGAAAGCCTTCTCCTTCTCATGTCCCCTCCTCGCTCGCCGCCGATCGGATGTTCTGTGTGCTTTGGCCGGCGGGGTTCTCGTGCTCTTGAGAAATGTTTTTCTGGCCTACGTAGGTCCGAGTGCACGGCGAATCGCCTGCGCCCCTCTGCCTTTTGGAGGCGCCCGCGGCCGAACGCCGTGGCCAGAGCTCAACCACGCTATCGGACCGTCTGTGCCCGCCATATTGAGCGTCGTGGAGGTCTCCTTCCTGGGGCCCTCTCGGGGCCGTCTTGGGGGCTCTTGGGCCGTCAGGAGGCCATCCCGGAGGCCTCTTTGGCGCTCTTGCGACCATCTTGGTGGCCGATTTGGTCGTCTCAGGACGTCGGAAACAGAAAAAGAGCAACCCCCAACATGATTCAAACATCTATTGAGTATCAGTGAGGTTGGGCCCTCCTGGAAAGCCTTTGGATGCCTCCAAAAGGGGGTCCAGCGACAAGGGGGTGGTGCAATAGATTTGGTGCAATATGTGTGTATATATATATATATATATATGCGGGGTTGCCATACGTTTGGGGCGTGCAACACATTCCGGGGCGCGAATGTCTTGCTGGATTTTCGCGCGCAACATATTGCTTGCAACACACTGCAATACAAGTCTCCGGCGCAGTACACTTGCAATAGAATTGCCCCAATTCCATTGCACCACACCCTTTCAGCTGGACGCCCTCTTGGGTCACCCAAACTTGGGGCCATCTCAGGTGTCTCGGACGGACGTGTAGGCCATCTTGCCCGTCAGGGTGGCGGGCGCTGTGCGGATGCCTGGTCGTCTTGGGCGCGGCGGCGCGACCAGCCGAGACCCCATCGGGAGCTTTGCAAGACAGGCCCACGCAGCCTAACATTCAGTCGGGCGCGTTCCTCTACAGGAGGATGTTCAAAACTAGTAAGAAAATAGTCTGGGGACGATTTTTTCTAATATCATTGGGGTATTTGGGGGCAGCGTTGCTTTAGTATTTTGCGTTCGTCCAGAATCCGCCTGTAGGGGGACACCCCCGACTTAAACCTAACATTCGGCACGCCGTTTACCCCTGTGGCAAGCCCAGGGGCTGGCGGGTGTCTAGTGGCCTTCGAGCCATCCCGCCACTGTGGTTGGATCATTGGCCAGAGCCGTCCGCGAGGTATCTGTGTCGCGCGGCGTCGTATGCGCACAACTCGGCGGGGTTTCAGCCCGCTTTGCCACTTGCGCGTGGGGGCATGTCACGCCGTTGTACTGCTCGGACAAGAGTTCCGACCGCCTTGGGTCGCCAGGAAGAGGCCGTCGAGTGGTGTGCTGGGGGGTGGGGGGGGCGTGGGACCACCAACAGATAGAAAACTGCAGAGGAAAATGCTGCCAGGAGAGCTCCCAGTGCCTCTTCGAGTTCCTCCTCTTGGCCCCTCCTCCGGCGCCCCTTGGGGCCTCTTGGGCTCCTCTTAGGGCCTCGGATGCCCTCTCGGGTGGGCCTTGCGGGTTTCTTGGGCCGCTTGGGATGCCCTAGAAATCAAGTGGCCGAGAATGCGCAGTCGTACAGCTACACATAGTTCATTTCTCATTATTCGAGAGTTCTTTAATTTGCTGGGGGGGCCAAGATCCTTTCATTTCTAATTGTTCTATCCTGGGCCTCTTCCTGGCCACTAGGGGGCCAGGAACAATTAGAACCGAGCACAATTAGGAATGAGCACGGTTAGAAATGAACGACGTGTAATTCTGTTCACGCCAATGACCTTGGTCTCTTGGGGCGGCCCCTCCAAGTCGGCCCAAGGGGCTCCAAACAGAGCCTCGGGACGGGCCCGCGGGGCCACCTGTGCCATCTTGATGGCCTCCGTGACACCCAAATGCATTTTTGGGAGCGTCCGGGGGCCAGCAGGGCCCTTGGCGAACTCGTGCCCCCCGGCACGCCCCTCCCAGATGGTGTTTCGGAGCTTCGGGGGGGAACGTGGGCGAGGGATGGCCAGTCATCTCACATGCCGCTTCACCCGCAGCAAGCGGGAGCTGGCGCATGTTTGGTCCCACCTCCGCCCTCCCTCCCATCATCGGTCATCAACTTGTGTTACGCATAGATCCTGGACTCGGCACGCGCTCTTGCTTCACTGTCGCTCCACTCCTGGGCACGCCGGGTCCCCTCCGCGTGCCCCTTGGCGCTCCGCAGCGCGGCCTCGCGTGGAGGCCGCCTCGGCTCGAGGCAGCGGGCAGCCACGCCCCCCCGCGGGCTGTCTGCCCAGGGCGGCAGGGGGAGGGTAGCAGGGTCAGGACGGGATGCGCCTTACGATAGAGAGAAAGAGAGAGAGAGAGAGACAGAGAGAGAGAGAGAGAGAGAGAGAAAAATAGAGAGAGAGAGAGAGGGAGGCCTCCAGTGCAGACGCAAGGGGAGGGGCCGCAACCCTTCCGCGCAAGCGGGCAAGGGCAGAAGGGGCGGAGACGCATTGACAGCAATAGTGATCCTGAGGAGCGGGGAAGAAGGGAGGAAGGAAGAGGAGGACGCAGATCCTTGCCGAGGAGGAATGAGAGGAACGGGGGGGCAGAAGAGGGAGGAGGGAAGGAGGGAGGGTGGGATTTTTGTTGGATTGCGCATCTGATTCAAGCGCTGGCTGGTCAGTATAAAGATCGGCACTCAACTGGCTGAATATATAAGGGGCTGCTACCCAAAGAGTGATTCAGCACGCGTGCCAATTATGCAGACAACCGTTGTTGCTGCCCTCGCAAGGAAAAGATGGTAAGTAAGCGCATCAGCACGGTACAGCGAACGCAGTTGGAGGACAAGGAATCGGCACCACACGCAGACAGCAAAGACAGGGGCGGCCCTGGACTGATCATGTGTGCCGGGCCTTTTCGAGAGCACAAGACAGGTGGCAATCTTATGCCAAACGTCACGTACCTGAGGGAGAGACAATCTTCGGCCCCATGCCGTCACGCAGACGAGACCGCGGAGGAACATGATACATGATACATATATACATATATATATATATATATATATTCATATATATATGTGTATATATATGTATGTATGTATGTATGTATGTATGTATGTATGTATGTATGAATGTATATATATATATATGCACCTATATATATATACATATATATATATATGTGTATATCTCCGTAAGTGCTTCGCCCCATGCCGCCGGCCCCTTGTCTCGGAAAATGGGTGATGCAAAAGCTAAATCATGAGGTCTGGGCGCCGCCGTGAAGCAGTGTCGGGACATGTTTGTTTTTTTTCGACTCTGACCCTACGGATCTGCGTTTCGGGTGCCACCGAATGTCAGAAATGTAGGAAATTCTTGTGCTTTTGGACCCTGACCCTACGGATCTGCGTGAGGGGTGCCACCGGATATCAGAAATGTGGCAAATCCTATATGTTTTTGCACCCTGACCCCGCCGATCTGCGTGAGGGGTGCTGCCGAATCTTAGAAATGTGGCAACTCCCGGGTGTTTTTGCACCCTGACCCCGCCGATTTGCGTGAGGGGTGCCACCGGATTTCCAAATCCCGTGTGTTTTTGCATCCTGACCCCGCCGATCTGCGCGAGGGGGGTCAGCAAAATTCAGAAATGTTGCAAACCTTTTTATTTTTTGACCCTGGCCCCGCCGATCTGCATGAGGGGAGTCACCGAATTCAAGAAATTTTGCAAATCCCTTGTGTTTTGCATTCTGACCCCGCCGATCTGCGTGAGGGGTGCCACCGAATGTCAGAAATGTTACAAATCTCATATGTTTTTGGACCCTGACCCTGCCGATCTGCGTGAGGGGTGCCAGCAAATTTCAGAAATGTGGCAAATCCCTTGTGTTTTTGCACCCTGACTCCGCCGATCTGCGTGAGGGGTGCCACCGATTGTCAGAAATGTGGCAAACCCCTTGTGTTTTTGGACCCTGGCCCCGTCGATCTGCTTGAAGGGTGTTAATTTTCACCCCCCCAGAAATTCTGAGAACCCTCCCAGGGTGCGGTAAAAATATCAGTTTTGGGCCTCCCCCCCTCGCGCGGTCCATCAACAAGGAACAGTAAGCAGCAAGAAGTCAACAAGGAACAGTAAGCAGTAACAAGCATAACTGTAACAGTGGAAACTGGAAGCTGCAACTGGTACAGGAAACTGCGAACCTTAGGCCTACAGCCTGGTGGCCCCACAAGGGGGCCGGCGGATATATCCTGAAGGGTTTCGCCCTCTGCCCTGGACCCCTTTTTTTCATAATTGGGCAGCCAGGAAGTATGACGGCATGCTTGAGCGTCGTCGTGAAGCGATATCTGAACATGCGAGGGCGATTGGCAATCCTCAAGACAAATTGAGATCCAGATGGGATGGTTGACTTCTGTATTGTTTGTTGTTCGAACTCCCCCCGCGCCGTGTATTGGAGGCTCTCTTGGAACGACTGGGGGCTGCTTGGGGCTACGTTGAG